CGATTCAACCTTTAATCCTGATCCGATTCAACCTTTAATCCTGATCCGATTCAACCTTTAATCCTGATCCGATTCAACCTTTAATCCTGATCCGATTCAACCTTTAATCCTGATCCGATTCAACCTTTAATCCTGATCCGATTCAACCTTTAATCCTGATCCGATTCAACCTTTAATCCTGATCCGATTCAACCTTTAATCCTGATCCGATTCAACCTTTAATCCTGATCCGATTCAACCTTTAATCCTGATCCGATTCAACCTTTAATCCTGATCCGATTCAAACTTTAATCCTGATCCGATTCAACCTTTAATCCTGATCCGATTCAACCTTTAGTTCATGATCTTACTTGTTGAGGAACTCCTCTTGTCCACTGATCTTTAGTAGGTACTCGTTCAGGTCTACGTGGTCCAGGTGGTCCTGAGCGTAGCACAGAGTCTGGTAGATGAGCAGATCCACTGTGGATGCACCTGAGAAACAGGGAGTTACTGGTTCTGTTTGCTGATCTGGGTCTAACGAAAACATCTAGACATGTTTTGTTGATAAAACACAGATTAAATAAAATCTGTAGCTTGAACCTCAGCAGGTTCTTACCGTCGCAGGTGAAGGTCAAAGGTTCCCTGAAGTCCTCGCTGATGACCGTCACCTTCACGCCCACGCCCAGAGCCTGATGCAGCTCATCATGGCCGACAGATGGCGACCACACAAAGCCGGTGTTCTTGGAGCGGTTGTTGAATGGATACGCTGAGCGCAGCCTGAAACACACCGTTCAGATCTTTCTGTCACTTCCTGTTTGTGTTCTCTGAGTGGACAGATCCTGGATCAGGTCCACCTCAGACCTTCATCACAAATATTGTGATGATATTGGAGAAGTTATTTGTGATCAGATTGGATCAATTTATTGATAAAATAAGATTTTAAGTAGCAGTCAGTGTGGATTTAGAGCCAATAACTCGACATCAATGGTTCTTATGGAACTGATGGAACAAATAACAAATACTACTGATCAAAAACAATATTGGGCCAGTTTTATGTTGATTTGAAGAAAGCGTTCGACACGACTGACCACAGCATTCTCCTAGAAAAACTACAGAAACATGGGATTAGAGGACCAGCATTACAATGGATATCTAGTTATTTTGAAAACAGGAAACAGTTTGAACAAATACATGATGTCAGATCTGAACTCTATGAAATCACATGTGGAGTTTCTCAGGGTTCTGTGCTTGGACAAAAGTTCTTTATCTTATATGTGAATGATATGTAGTGCAGGGCGGTAAACCGTTTTGTACCAAAAACTGTTTTTTATTTTTGTTATGATATGAATTTTCTGAATACTGGACATACTGGTGTAAATATCCTGAACACGTTCAGAACGTTTCATCACGGTCACCAGTGAACCGTTTCCCAGGGGACACTTTTCCTCGCAGCACCGCTATGTGCGTTAGCATGCTAATGTTACTGTTGGAGCAGCTTGTTGCAGTGGTGGGTGGTGTTTCAGCTGCTTATACTGACTGAAGTTAAAAAAACATCCCACCATCGCTGAATGTAGTTAACACCTCTTCAGTGTCGTGCACAGTTAGATTTAACACCCAACGTTATGATGGAGACTTTAACGTGCTTCTATTGTGAAAAGCCCGGGGGGAAGTAGTTTTGTAGCAGAGCTGAGTTGACTGGTGTGTAAGGTGAGTCGTTCTTTTAAGTTTTATTAACACACAACAACAGACCTGATGATCTTTTCTCCACCCTTCACCATCGGACCTAAATTCATGATTACGTCGACAACCAGGCAGAGAAAAGACGTTTAGAGGAGGGAAACAGTCAGACAGAGGTACATAAAATAAACAAGTCAATAAGCAACATTTTATTATCAGCTGAGCTGTGATGAAAATAAAAATACTGTCAAATACTGTGAAACAGGTGTACTTGTTGAAAATACCATGAGCGCCCAGCTCTAATGACATGGTTAGTGTGTCAGGACTATTGAAATACTACTTTTTCTGTTTGGGTAAAAACACAGAACCAATGTTAGAGAAAATGTAAGCAGAATTTGTAAAAATACAAAACTGGTTTAAACTTAATAAATTATCATCAAATCTGGATAAAACTAATTATATGTTGTTTGCAAATAGACAAAGAACTGTTGGTGTGGAGACTAACAGTCAGTGAGGTCAAGTTTTAGGTTGTTGATGAGAAACTAACATGAAAACCTCATTAAATTATTTAAGAATAAAACTAGTTAAATCTGTTGCATTGTTTTATAAAGTAAGGCACTTGTTTAATGATAAAACTCTGTATTTGTTATATAACACATTAATTGTTCCACACCTGGTCTGTTGTGTTGAGGTGTGATGTAAAACATGTAAGACTATTACACTTCCTGTTTTTGTTTTGTAGAAAAGAGTTATAAGAGTTATCACTCTAAAACATTATTATAAAACATCTAATACATTATTCTGTAAACTGAAATTATTGAAATGTTATGATTTGATTGATTATAACATTCTGTTAGTTATGTATAAAGCTCACCTAAACTCATTAACTTTAAACATCCAGATAAACTTTGTAAAAACAGAGAGCTGTTATAATCTAAAGAGGACAGAGATGCTCATGAAATACATGTTTAAGAGAATGATAAAGGCTGGATTGTTGAAAAATAGGAAATAGTAAAATGTTTATTCATAAAATGTGTTGTTCTAGGAAGATTTGATGTTTTTGTTTTAACTGAAGATGACTATTTTCTGATTTATACTTGAGGAAAACGAGCAGATATAAGATTTTTCTTCTCTCTGACAACTTTCATTTCATTTTATTTGTGTTTTTTTTTGTACATAAAATTTTATTTTTAAGAAATGAATAAAGTTTGAAATAAAAAAATAAAACTTTCAAACTCTCCTTCATCAGACGTAGGATGATGAAAACTGACCAGTTCTGCTGGGATTTCAGAATAAAACCAGCAGTTAGCTCTGCTGTACGACATGAAGGCTGAGCTTTGATCACCAGCTGTGTTTACATGTGCAAAATCCTCTGATCAGATTGAAATTATTCAGATTAAATAATCTGAATGTTTGGTTTACATGGGCACAATCTGATCATGATGAGTGTTTACATGCACCAGGTTTTTATTCAGAGCAGAAGCTCTGAAACTTAAAAACTGTAATAAACATAAAAACTGTCATAAACATAAAAACTGTAATAAACATAAAAACTGTAATAAACATAAAAACTGTAATAAACATAAAAACT